TGAGTATGCGTTTTTTTTGTTTTCTTTTCTTTTAAGAGCCAGAGCTGGAAGAGTGGGCAGGGGATGGGGAGATTCAGTTGGTTTGGCTGCGGTTGAATCTCAGAATCAGATTCAGCTGAATCAATTCAGGACAGTGATTCGAATCACTGTCCCCTGAATTGGCCGAATCCTAATCCGAAGCAAATACTAGCCACTTGGCACAGGCCTTGTGGCTAAACTGCTGCCTCTCTCACAGACCCCTGTTATCTCATTGTTTCCTAGTACTTCCCTGTCTGTATTCTTTTGTTGTCTCTTTTCTTATGGTTTAGGCTTGGACATGCAACATGTTTCCACTCATATAATTAGTCTTTAAACTGTTGTACAATACAGAGTAGATAGACAACACAAACACTCACATTGCTGGGTCATTAGACTGCCATGTAAAAGTACCCCATGGAAAACCAGAAAAAATACAGTAGCATAAGAATCATGGCTGCTTATAGACATGCTCATTCACATTCTAATTAGACCACGTCAGAGCAGACTCAATTAATTGCCTCGTCATCACCCCCATGCATTTCAAAATGGCTATGAGGGCACTTTATCTAAACCTTGCCAAATAAGCTTGATTATGCCATCCCATGGCCATTTTGAAATACATGGGGATTTAATACATGCGACAGTGAACCATTTTAATTAGAACAGCTGTTCAGGATCTGCTGTAATTAAAACACCCCCACACCTGAGCACATGTATAGGCAACCCATGCATCTGCAGTTACCCCAGGGCAGTGGGTTCCAGTGCACAATATTACATGCTTCTCTACCACCAAGTGGTGAGGTGCTGTAATACTACCAACTGCAAATATTTAGCCTGGGAAAGCTACTTGTATGCTACTCTGGCTCCCAACTTAATTTGCATTGGTGTAAAGATGTTCTGTATCAACATCTGTATCAACATCCTGTAAGTTTTTGAGACGGGGACCAGATTTGATTTATATTTTCACTAGAGATGCACCTATACATTGGTCCCATATTTGATTAGCACCAATATTGGGAAAATTGACAGTATCAGAAATGGTCTTTTTGCCTGATGCAGCTGATAAATGCCCCATGTATACACGCAGCCACACCATGCATGTGGCCAGGAGTGCAGCCCAATGGCTTGGAGAGCAGCATTGGCTGATAAGTCTGTTGTGTGGGAAGGGTGGAGGGAGGGAAAAATAATGTGGGGGGCAGATTGAGGCCCTTGTGGTGAGGGAGCAAGTGGGGCAGGGGCAGGCGCTGCTCAGCCGGGGAGGGGCAGGCATGGGACAGAGCCATGAGCGGCTCATCCAGAGGGCATGGAGGCAGTTCCTGCTGCTTCCCTACCCTGGGAGACATAGGAGGCATGTGCCCCTGAATCTGCACGGGGTGGGGTAGGGCAGGCTGCCACTGCTAGCTGGGCTAGGCTGGGCTGGGCTCTTCCCAGTGGAGGTGTTGGGCTGGGAAGGTGCTGAGCTCTTCCTGGTGGGGCTGGGCTAGGCTGCACTCAGGAGGTTACGGGGGGGCTACAGTGAATTTTGGGGTGGCTGCAGCCCCCTCCCCCCCATAGCCCCCTCTCAGCACCACTGCTGCATCCTGAGCACAGCCCAGCCCAGCCCCCCTACTTGGAGGAGCTCAGTGCTGCCCCAGCCCACAGCGGCAGCCTGCCCTCGCCCCATGTGCAGATCTGGAGGCACATGCCCCCATGCTCTCTTGGGGTGCGTGCCTCCCACCCTGCACCCCTTGGACAAGCCACTTGCAGCTCCACCCCATGCCCCAGCCCTCTCCTTCCTTCACTGTGGGGGCTTTCATCTGCCTCCCCATGACCCTTCCTTCCCCCACACCAGAATTACCAGCCCGACACTGGTCTCCAAGCTGCCTGGTTGCATACTGGAATCGGATCAGTATTGGCTGATATGGCTCCTTAAAAATCAGCTATTGGTATCGACCCAAAACATCTCTATTGGTGCACCCCTAGTTTTCACAGTGTGTAGCACAGCGGGGTCCTTCCCCTTCCTTGCTTGTGTACAGTAGTGTGTGGGTCTCCATGGAAACTCATCTTTGCCTGGCCATGTGTCTGATCATTTCAACAATGGGCACAGCAATAGGTAAGAGCAAATGTGATAGGAAAGGAGTTGAGGAGCAAGGGATAGAGTAGGAAGTTCACCAGGTTACTTAGTTACTGCAAAGCACATTAGAGTGGCTTAGTGCTTTGAAGCAATAGCAGAGGAAAATCCAGTGCAAACAGTAAACTTCTACTAATAAATGTAATTCTGCCACTTCAAGTATAGATAAATATCCAGTGAAGGCCTCAATTCAGCAAAACATAAGTGCATATTTGAGCACATGCTTCAAACACTTTGCGGAACCGAGGCCAATAAGAACTGATCTAAATCCCACTGAAATCATTAATGGGTCTTTCTCTTGATCTGTTAAGTTGGGGTAGGTTCCTCTTGTCTGCAGGTATCTAGCTGGCATTATACATCAGACCTAAGTTGTTTCTATTTAATGATGCCCTGACCCTGGAGAGAAACCTAGAGCTCACTTTTCTCTTCTGTTTTGAAAACATCTCTTTGCTACAAAATCTTACACAGCTTTGCCACTTGTTTCACTCCTATTTCAACTGCTCCACAGACACTGCTAATTGAATTAGCAGCCACTGAGACATGACTGAACACAGCTTGCTTTGCCTAATTGGCTCAAATTCTCCCAACCCTTGATTGGTTAAAAAGCTGTTTTTTTCTCCCAACTCAGAGCTGTGGTGAGGGAGTGTGGAGGGCCCTACCCCTTTTAACTTTTGTTCTCCAAAAGGGCAGGGGGGGAAGGGAATAAACTCTTTAACCTAAGACGTCTTTGAAACCTGGCCCTAGGACAATGAGCAAACTGCCTTCCTGAGAAATTGTTACTGCAGATAGAGTTGTCAGTCAGTAAGGTCTGCCCACTCTGGGGCCATTAAACCCACCCTCCTTTCCTTCCAGAGATGGAGAAGCTAGCTAGAGACAGAATCAGCTTGTTAGCCGAGCACCCTGTGGAGAGAGGTAACCCACATTTATCCTCAGCTGGGGCTGTCTTCATCATGCTGAAATCAGCTCTGGGAGCAGGACTTCTCAATTTCCCGTGGGCTTTCAATAAGGCTGGAGGGATCACAACAGCTGTGCTTGTGGAGCTGGTAAGTGGCATGGGCCCTCACTGTATACATTGGCTACCAGCTTGAGGAATATTCTGCTTTAGTGTCTAGAATGGCTCCCATAGCTTAACCTGGCCTTAGTGATAATAATTGGCTTTCTGCATCTCCCTTCTCCCTCCTGAGAAGGGAGATGCAGAAAGCCTTTTCACTCATAAAATCCAAATCCTGTGCATCTGTAGCTACCTTCTCTCCCTCATTTAGTCCAGCCAAAGCTGCAAACCTCATAGCTGTCTTCTACGCAGGCAGGTATGTTGTCTTGCAGCATCTGACAGAGACCCTGATTGTGACTGGAGTACATTCAGCTGCTTTCATAACGCAGATAGACCCTTTTGGAAGTTCGGGAGGTGCTCTGGGCTCAATAATTAAGTGTACACTGGACTCAGCCTGCCCTATCAAATCAATGGTTTATCATTGATTTTAGTTATAGGGGATGATTCCTGTTTTGAAGCAGCCTGTTCAGCTAGAACATGAGCCATCAAAGAATCACTGTCTTTATATGTGTGTTTCTCTTCTTTAGTACCCTCCTGTCCTTCAGTAGCTACAGTGCTAGCTTGGGACTCCAAAGGCCAATGTTCAGCTTTTTGCTTCAAGATTCCTGTAGCAAATCACTCATGCTCAGATCCACAGCAGGACTTGAGTGCCTATTCTACTTAAGTCTAGGAGCTGTGGCTGTAAGACCTGTGATCAAGCTGTTAGGCATCCACCTTTTTGTCAGCAGTTTCCCCAGATCCCAAAGACTTTGCTCCTTTGCATGCCCACAGCTGCTGACATTTTGGAAAGA